CGGGTGCTACCGTTCAGATACACCCACTTACCGTCCCCATATCAAATCGTAACGAGCCTTTCCTGCAGTTCTTAGCGACAGGAAAAGTGTAAGTTATCGGGTCAAGGCCATACCTGGAACGTCTCTCTGTTTCCACTTGTAATAGTCCTGGAATTGCTCAGACCATTGCCAGTCTTGATCACCAACCATCGCGTCTTATGGCATGGGAAAGCGGTCTACGTAGCGCTCGCCGTCCTGTAGGCTATGGATATATTCAAGTCGGGTAGGGCTTCGCGTTCAAGCTAGGCCCACATGAAGGCGCCTAGGATGTGTCGGCTAGAGGCAAGCTTCTGCTGATGATTTCCTTAAGGCGCTGATCAAAAATAATGAAGCGAAGTGCCCAGGTGAGGTTACCACGGTATCGCACTAGGAAGAGCCGCCTGCGAAAGAAGGCTGAGGATGGGGCCAAGCTTACGCCTGGGCAAGGAGCGGTTCACGAGGTGAGGAGGAACGCACTAAGCGTGTGTTGTCCGCTTTCCGGTCCTAGCGTGACATGCCGTGTGCGCCTCCGTGCATGTTGCATGTTCGATCGGCTTATCCGCCCAATCACCACCGATCTTAATTCCACAATGTTCAGGACCCCGTGATACACCAAAGTCTCTCGGCCGTGTCAACAAGGAATGAAATATTGGAGGCGCTGATAACGTAAGCCTTTACGTGGTTGGATGCATCTGGAATGCCACTGTCCTCACATTATGTCCACGACCGCGACAACTATGTCTGAAAAATTGGAGATGGTCGAACATGAGGAAGTAAGTAACATTTATACGCATTCAAGTAGGCAGGCATCATTAACATCGTTACCCCAGCTCCCCGCCGGCCTGCACGACCGCCTCATTCAGGCATGCATCCTGAACAGCCCCGAAGATCACGCCGTTAAGTTGCTGAAAGCATATGCAACCACACGCCTCATCAATAACATCCTACCGGACAATAGAATCAGGGTGCCAACAGCATCGCTATCTGCTTTGCCTCACCTGCGAGCGGACTTGTCCGTCACACTTCACTACGTCTGGCTAAGATGTCTTGTCGTGTCGCCTATCAAGTCATTCTTGACAGTGTGTGAGCTCATATCATGGATGTTTGGCGTACACCAGGGGCATGTGTCGGATACTGCCGACTTCGTGTTACCTCTGCGATCGCACGACGCTGTCGCCCTCCACTCATACCACCCAGTGTTCCTGCTTTCAGGTGGAGAATCTGACCAGTGCACGGCTGCCACGGCAGTGCACTGGCCGACGTTTCCATCTGAAAGCCTACGTACTGTTTGTACTACAGTAAACATTTTCACCAAGAACACGCTACGTGCTGTGCAGACCACAGCCGACCTTTATTTGCCAACAGCAGCCAGATCGGCCATAGTAAGCATAGAAAGAGTGCTCAAGAATCCTCTGTTTGCAATCTCTAGTATCTCATGGCCTCGGACCCCTCCGGCGAAGGGTAGTCTACGAGTCCCTGCAGATTCTCTAAAAGGCCTACCGCCATTACCTCCGATCACAACACCTCCTGAGGAAGATCTGTTCGAACTTGGGAAAGGCTCACTAGCTGGCTTCTGTTCAGCATTGACACATGAACGGCTTACTATTGAGTCTTTGTTCTCCATCACGGTTTCGAGAGCACCGCCTCTGCCCCCGATCACCACTCCTCCAGACAGTGACACGGTTTTCAGCCAGCAACGCCACATGATCTGGGACGAAGCACGACGTCAAGCGCATTTCACCAAACAGGATATTTCTCCGACATTTCTTTACCGAACAGTCACAGAGCTTGGGCGCCGCTTGACAGAACCACAATTCCACGACGTCCCTTCATGCTCCGCAGCGTGGCTCATTCACTGACGAGAGGACCTTCATTCACCTCACCAGCCACATGGCTCTCAACATTTGCGATTGAAGACGACCCCGACTAACACGGGGTCGATTTTTTATTTTGGCATGCCTTACTCCGTTGTACAGATTCTTCAGACCCATTACACCAAGGGTACCGTTCTACAGAAAGCACATCAGAGCGCTGACCACCGGCACTCTGTACACACTCTCGTGGATGAACCCTTGTGTTGTTGTGGATCTTATGATCAACATCATTGTATTTAATTTAACGCCTCACAAATTGTTTACTACTTTCCATCGAAACGTCCCCCAAATAATGCGTTGAATAGCATGTAGTATTAAAAGACGATGTTGTAACAATTCGATGCAGGTTTACACCATACGCATGAATAGGCGCTAAACTGTTATAATGACCACATGCGCTGGGTTCCTTGCGCTTGCTTGTAACTCCTGCGTCGACAAATTTGACTTATCGAGGCTCGGAGACTCAAGCAAACAGTCCATCGGTAACTGTATGCCTAGGCTGGGGGATATCGTCCGCCCCACCTTCCGTTTCGAAGGGCCCCATAAAGGATGGAGGGTGGCGAACCCCTGCCATTGGACAGATATATACGAGATGGCGCCCGATATGAGGGCGTACATGTGAAGCGCCTCGACAACAGAGGCTCATGACCTCCATCTGTCGCGAACATTCCCTGGCGAGGGACTCTGTTGTTTTGTGCTTTTTGTAGAGCCCTCAAAACTGCGTATACGCCCGCTTGTATTTGTCTTGCCCGAATGTCAAGAGCTTGAGTAGGTTCGCCTTACTGCTGATGCCTGGCGATCATAGAAGGGCATGGGGGTTTTCTTGCATGGTGCAGCATGTACGTCAATCTGCAGTACAATGGGGCAAGTCAGGCATCAAAGCGCTTGCTGGGGCTCTAGTCATGTGACAACAGCCCATGCAAGTCGCGGTCCATACGTCCGCCTGCTGCTTACTCCGCTGTTTGACCGCGCTTGTTCCCTCCCTACTCCGCATTCTGGCCTTCCTAACCAGCAAGGCTGATGTCGTGTCGAACTTTGAGCCCACGACTTCATCATTCCGATCCTTCTAGGTTAAAAGCTTCGTACCTCTGACTCCTACGATGAGTTCCCAGAGGCCAGACAGCGACTGGATATGGAGCCAGGAGCATGGCGACTACTACAAAGCAGTATATGGACCAGGTATGGGACCCACAATGTGGTATGTCGTCAGCGCTGATCACAGGCAGACGGGGGAGTAGCAAAATATGTCTGGGGAAGGTCAGCCAAACCAAAGACACTGCCGTGTCTCTCGCACATACTGATAAGCTGCGATAGAGCGACTATACCACCAGAGCCACAGCAGCCGCCGCAAACTTCGAATATGTCCTCCTATCCCTCGAACTCCCAACATTCATCACGTACATCTGTGCCGTTACCACAAGGAGGACAGCCATATGGTGTCAGACCAGTTGGACCCGGTAGAACCGCCGTTGGCAGTCCAGTCCTTTCCACTTCTCAGCCTCATTCTGATCAGCTAAGGGATCAGTATGGACGCATAATACCAAGAGCGCCGACAGATTCAGACCCACCGAGGGATCAGTACGGGCGCGTAATACCTACAGCGCCGACGCAACTGGACCCGCCACGGGATCAGTATGGACGCATACTACCTACAACGCCGACACAGTCAGATCCGCCACGGGATCAGTATGGAAGGATAATAGCGACAGCGCTAGGCACATCACAGTATCCAGCCCATGGGCAATATCCCAATCAGGGAGGACAGTATCCGAACCAAGGAGGGCGCTATTCAAACCAATATTACGATGCGGGATCTTAGTAGACTCCAGCTCGACCTGGCTGCTTGCCAGGCTTTCACCGTACGTTGGGCATGCATGTTTTCTCGTCGTTCGCTAAATGCCGTAGTTAACTATTCCTGAAGCTACCAACAAATTGGACACCCCAATAAAGGTCTCAGCTCAAGTCGACTACTTATGTAGACTTTGAACACTACGTCCGTCTCACCCACTGTTCGAAATCATTGGCCCCATTTTAAAGAGTTTGGCGAAAGGCTATAGATAGATACGCCACCGTTTGCATTTTCCTATACACCCATATAGATATATGGCGGATATCATATCAAACTGGGATGGCTAGCTGATGGAGAGTGTTTTTGGGAAGGTCACCGCATATTCCTGTCACCACATATTCCTGGGTCCTCGGGTATCCTACTCAAGTCCAGGTCTTGACGACTACGTTCTGCTGTAATGATTATACGATTTGATAAGAATATCATCAATTGGCCAATTTTTTGGACAATACCGGTGAACCTGTGTTCATTAAAAGCTAACAGGACTATCAGGCTGCGTAGCAGCATCATTGCATTATTGTGCTGGAAAGCTGCCTGGATGAATATCATATAATCTATTTCTTTGTGAACAGTGTGCTTTAGTTCAATTTAATATTGGGCTGCGCAATATCTCAAAGAAGAATCGGTAAGGATACTTATCAGAGGACCCACGACCCATGTATCTTGCTCCACCATTATTCCTTCCCAGGTCGTGCTGTGACGTCTTACTGGACCAGTAATGCTTACCACAAGGTTTCGAGTTCGTACAAATAATATATCCACTCCAGAGGAATGGGATCGTCGTAGTAAGCATCGTTGGTGCCGGGAGAATGATGCACCGTCCCATATGAGCGATAAGCAGCCAGACCTTCATGATTGGAGCAAAACGCGTTTGGGCGACGAGTCAATTTTGCGAGCAGTTAATCGTCTCACATATGCTTTACCTAGGCTATCTGATGATATTCGACACAGAACTCAGTTGCGATTATAAGGTGTTCACCTCTACGGTACCGCGGCACGTATATGCTACAGTTTCGCTTTGAGCTGATGCCCGTAGTCGCTAATCGACCCACCAAAATGTGGGGATTCGCCCGCTCACACGGCCGCTAACCGATCCTGGCAACGCGGGTGAACGAGCCAACGGTTCGCAACTCCACAACCGCAAAACTTTAGACCCACTTCACAACCTCACGAAGTCATACCGAGCAGCATCTACACGTACGCCCAGTCTTCGTACACCAGCCTGCGCTCCTTTGCTCTCGCAATAGCTCCCCACCATCATGGCAACCGAGCCCGACCCCTTCGCGCAAACCCTCCTCGCCCGCGCGCATCCCCCCGCCGTCGCAGAAGCCCTCTACGCTGAACGCGTCGTCAAGCGCCCCCTTTACATTCGCGCGAACAGCCCCATCCCCTCTGCCCGCGCCTCACGCCGCCAAGCGCAAAATGCACGCAAAGCCAAGGCGCGCGCACGCAGCGCTTTGAAGCCTCGCCCGCTATCCGCCGCCCAAAAGCGCGCCCTTGGCCTCCTCGAGATCCCAAAGACGCAGCAAAAATACGAGATATACGAGGGTCTACACAAGCTGTGGACAGGCTACATGGGGGAGATACTAGGGCTAGGTGGAGAAGGCGGAAAAGCTTTTGTGACACCTGCTAGCGCAGGGCAACAGCTTGCGAGCGCGGATATGCATGGTGCGATCGTGGAGGTTGTAAGGAGTCGGTGTCCGAGCCGCGTTGGGCTTCAGGGGATCGTGGTGCGGGACACAAAGTTTACGTTCGAGATTATTACGAAGAAGGACAAGGTCAAGGTCGTGCCCAAGGAGCATTCGGTTTTTCGGTTTGAAGTGCCGTCGCCAAGGACAGAGGATGAGGAGGAAAAGAGACCGTTGGTCTTCGAGATTTTGGGAGAACAGTTTCAGACGAAGGCGGCGGATAGGGCGAATAGGAAGTTTAGGATCCACTATCAGCCGGATATATAAGGTAGAAGAGGATGACTGGGTTGAGTTCGCGCTACAAGAGCTGGTCAATTTGGTATACTATGCGCATCTCGGGAAGGACCAATAGTGACACTACGCATGTCGAACGATGAAGCCACCAAGCTGATGCACAAGTTCTGGCTGATACGCAAAGTCGTATTGGGGCAGAAAAAGCGATATATACTACGCCTACGAACGAAAAGCACGAACACGTAGATCGCCTCCGAGGGAAGCTCCAGAACTGTCCCTACGAATGGACAGAGCTGCATCGATACGGACAGCTATTGCAGAATCGGACCCCTACGGTTGGGTGACACCCGAGAGCGCACCGTTAAGCGCCTCGATCGACGGCGAGAAGAAGTATTCTCCGCCCTTGGACTGCACCCACTGTCTATCGAGCGATAGCGAACTACCGGTCGCATCGTCATTCGCTCCCGTCATGGCCCTTACCTCGCCATGAACTTGCCCGATGATGGGATCAAAACCGGGTTGCTCAGACTCCTGTGGTGGGAAGCCTTGGTTGTTGGCCCATACTGAGAGCAGTCGTCAGCGAAAATCACACAAGAAGCCTATGGTTGGAGAGGAACGTGACTTACGCCTCTGCAAAAAACTAAACCCGTTACCGAGGTTGGACTGGTATGATACGAAATACAGCCCACGCTCATACTTTGTGCTCTTAGTGAGCTTCTCCTCTGTCGTAACTTCAGGGCCGAAAGGGATGCCGCGGCGCAAGATCAAGTGGGGGTCAATACTGGTCTCTGGATTTGCAAGGTCTTTACGAGGGTTCATCTTTCGGATGTGTGCGGCGAAAGGACATATCTCTTGGGATTTGGGGTTGAACTTGAACTTGTTGTTGCGCTGCGGGTCAGCCGCCAGGACGGGGTCGTCTACGAGAGGTGTGATGCGTATTGGTGCACCTATGGCACGTCAATATCTGAACAAGACATGGTATGGAAAGGACGAGCAGACGTACCACTCTTCCAACGACCGACCATGCGAGCTCCGAGAATATCAGCCGGTGATGGCGCATCGGAAAAATCATCAAAGTCCGTGATGTTCTTGGATGTGTCGTCCAAGAACCTGGTCTCCATCAGCGATGCTAACACTCAAGAGGGGTGCAACACATACCTGTCAAACTCAGGAACGAGCTGTGGCAGTTTCCGGAAAGCCAGGAAGCTGCCGTCTGTGGCCCATCCTGGGCGACCTTGCACATCGTCTCCGTCACGACCAAGCAATCCAACACTACAATGGTCAGCGCCTCTTCATGCAACCCAAATGAGCGGAAAAGCCTACCCGAGCTTGACCAAAGTCTGTCCGGGGAACGGCTTCTTTCCATCAACGTTGTCCACGCCATTCAGCGCGGGCTGCGAAATACCGTCCATGTATCCGAAGCTACACCCTGTCAGCCTGAACATATCAGTACTCGTTCATTAAACTCACTGTTCATGGCCCTTAAACTCCCCAGGCCTAACATCACCAGCCAGCGTCGCAACTTCAGCAATCGAGGACGTTCCATCCGTAGACAAGACAGCCTTGACCTCATCCAGCTTGCCATTCATAGTCTCGAAGGAGTCACCAGCGACGAGGATTACTCCGTGGATCTCCTGCTTCTCCTGAAGGAAGGCGTCATCCCAATCAGGCTTGAACTCCTCTTTGGTAGCTCCAGTGCCTTTGTCGGCAAGCGCGAATGCATCGTCCTTTTGTCCTGCGGCGAAGAGCGGGTCCTTGAGGTCGTCCGTAACGCCGATCTAAGCAATGTCAGACATACCACAATTTTCCAGGACGAACCTGACTTACGGCAATAAGACCCTTCTGCGAGAATGCGATGTTGACCCCTACAACGGAAAGTAGCGGGGGGTCAGCTGTGATCTCCCCAAGCTCGTTGGTGCCGCCGTTGGATCCATCTACGCCATTGATCCGCACGTGCTTCTCCGCCTTGAACGCGCGAATAGCCTCTTTCTCACCAGTCGCTTTGTCCGCAGTAGTGATCAGTGGAACAACATTCTTGAGCTCAGACTTGAATGCATCCGCATTGGTGATCTGGAAGAAGAAGAAGACTTCTGTCTTCTTGGAGAGGCCAACGCTGGCGTGTGTTAGTGGTTATTCTCAGTAAGATGGGAGTGGGGGCTAGTACAGGATGTCGCCCTGGACGTTGGAGAGTTTGAAACCGGTGTCTGCCATTTTAATCTTGCGTTGTGGTGCACCGTAGTATGAGCCTGAATGTTTAACCCTCTTGGTGGCTACCATGGAGTGTCAAGGACAGAAAGTGGACTGGGTCTGTTGAGCGTTTACGATGTTCTTATATTTCCTGCACCGCCGTCCACATGTCTTCAGCTGCCCAAGCCAGAGCTCACAGCTGTCCCCATTGTACTACAGCATAGGCAGAAGCAACGCCCTCTTCAGTCTAGATCAAGCCTAAGATCATGTGTAGCTGAGCTCTTCATACGCAGCAAGACGCCTCCAAGAGGCAACCAAGACCCCCGCAGCAACTCTGCGCCACGAGCGATTACGTTGGATGCAATATTTTAGATCTTATTGGCCGCCGTTACGAAGCCAAGGACACTTGAATACGAGTGAACATACCGTTCGGAGGACCAGAGTAATGCTTCTTCTTGCGAATTTGCCCTGTGCAGTCCTTGCGGTGCGCCTTTTTGCGGCTGAGACAGCTGAGACATGGGTCGTTGCTGGGTAATCGGGTTCGACGTCAGCTTACAGCTGGGCGTATATCGTGAGTAAGAGTGTCCTGGGATGAGATTCGACAGTTTGTGAAGTTAATACTGCTTGAAGATCATGGGGCCTCCCGGGAACCGGGACGAAGTCTACGGTGTCAATGGAGGGATCTAACCGCCAATAGATGTCTTGCTCGTCAGTGCAAGGTTACTAGTTATGCGATTTACTCTGCTGAAAGTTCTATTGATTCAGGCGACCTATTCATAGAGGACGACAGTGCCGAGGAGAGTGAGGATGAGCCAGGCCGTTCGGAAGAGGAGTATGTTCCGCAGGACTCAAGCGATGACGATGATTGGAGCAACGATTCCGACGCCGATTCCGATGATCCATATGATATGACCGATGATTTAGACGCGAGGAACGAGGCCGATATTGAGCCGGCCACAAAAGGCCAGTGGAGCTACGCGGAAAGATGGGGGTAAGCCGAGATGGAGCGCATCTACGAGTAGTTGAGGTGCCTTGAAGGTGACCCAGAGAATCCGGAAGCTCTTCGCGTGTTACAGCTCGGGGGAAAGCGAAGCAACACGCATGTACATCGTGGCGGAGCTTACTTTTGGAGCCGCAGGGCTTGGGTTGTGGTAGGCATAGTAGGTTGAGTGTACAGACGCGTCTCGATCCTGGTGGGTTCGCTCACTGACTGGTGTTGAGCAATGGTTGGTGAACCACGTTAGTCTAATCCTTAGGCTTTAGTTGGCTCCTTACTGCAGCCGTTTGTCCTATCTCCTCAGAGGTCGAACAGCTGAAGTTGTTGAACAATCCATGCTCTGCCTCTGTTTCCTTCCCAGGCGAGTTTTTGAGTTCCATATCCACCGAGGAGAAAGAGGCGTTCCTGGGGAATGTATCCATCAGCAAACTTCCCAAATGCGCGTCTCTCAGGCCGACTCCGACAAATTATCCGAAAGGTGCAATACATTTCTATGATGTCTCCCTCAAAATTTCTGACGGAGAATTGACTACTACCTCGACACCCAGCCCAGTCATGCGCTTTACGCCATAGCAAAGGAAGCGTCTCGCAAGCAGAAGATGTGTGATTTAGGAATACTGTAGACGTCTATAAGAAGCTTATTTCTACTGGTATCACTAACAGTAGCAAGCACAGTGGCTTAGATCCCCTGCGCGAGTTGCAACATCGCGTGGCCTGTTCCGCCAGCGGCTGAATGGACAAGAACTGTCTCTATAGACTGCAGACAAGCTACATCGACTAGCGAGTAGCACGCAGTGCAATATGCCGTGGGAACTGCTGCGGCCGCCACAAATCTGATATCATCTGGGATCTGAATGACATTCTACAGTAAGTTTGGATCGAATGCTCATTTGGTAACGCAGCCACGCGGTCTCCAGGCTTGATGCCGACAACACCGAAACCCGTGCCTCGAACGACATCAGTGTGTTCGCAACCAAGACCGTCGCTTTTTCCTTGGCCGATAAATACTATTAGGTCTTAGGAGACAGAAAATGAGACTAAGGCGATCGGAATTGACTACAATCACTATAGAAAAACGGGTAAATTGAAAATTCAATTCTCAGAGAGTATCACAATGCATCTTGTGATGTGACGCCGAAGGGCGTAGTGCGCATTGCCAGATGCACATAGCCTGACACCCTGAATGAGGGGGAGGCACGGTGGCCAGCACCACCAATCAAAGTACAGATATTCGCTTAGCAGGAGTTGTGCACCAAAGGGTTATTGACCCTGTTTATTCGTACGAACAAAGCTAAACACAACGAACACGACAATCGATTCACGAAAGCGACCTGAGACGAACGAAAACTCGCCCACACACATCATGGCATCGGACTTGCTACAATACAGTTCTTGGCTAAGCGGCCAGTATGAGGCTCGCACCGTGATCGCTTATGTTGTTTTAGCGGCGGCAGCGATCTCGGTCTTCCACTATGGTGTCTTGCTAGCTTTATACAACGCACCTCAAAAGAATGCTGCACTAAAAATACCTCCGCTACTTCCTCATTTTCTTCCTTTGATAGGCAACCTTCCGTGGAGGTTCTTCTGGGATCCGATTCAGTTCTTCACATCTGGGTGAGGACGACTGCGTAAATGACATGGCGATGATGTCCTGACGTAACTATTAGTTATCTTTCCCTCGTCAGACATCCAATCCGTGTTAGACTTCTCGCCAAAGATTTATACATTATTCAAGGTTCCGAGTATGTTCTTGCCCATCTTGGCCAGACCTCTACCTCGAATACCATATTCAATGCCAACTTCTTGCGGCAAGCATGCGGAATGTCCGACAAAGGCGTAGACAGGCTAGGAAGTGAATTGGAGGAGACACCTGAGTACTTCCAACGGAAGAACTACCTGGCAGCGGCTCCTCTCTATGCGTGGAGCTCCTCGGTGATCCATCGATACCTGGCTGGTCGTGGGGCACATAAGCTGTCGCAACGTTTCGAGACCAACCTACGAGATCGAATACGAACATACCATGATAGCTCTGTATCAGATAGCGTTGTCTTGTCGGATTTTCATGATTTCTTCACTTCCTATGTTACTGCCGCTTTGCTGGACTCGATGTGCGGTAAAGGCCTTCTTGCAAAGAATCCAACATTTACCCAAGCTTTCTGGACTTTCTGCGACAGTCTACCGATATTTATGAAGCGCACACCACGAATACCGGCATCGCAAGCCTATAAAGCGAGGGACGAAGTCATCGCCGCTGTTCAAACCTGGCAGACATGGGCCAGCGACAACTTCGACGCTGATACCACCCCACTTGATGATGATGGCGACGATCCATTCTGGGGCTCCAAGTTCTTCCGTGAGCGATTCTCGACCTTCGTCTTTGAGATGGGCTTTGACGCACGGGATATGGCATCTATGGAACTAGGCTTTCTCTTTGGGTAAGAAACCTTGAAGGAACGTGAGCACCCTAGCAGTACACTGATCACGCGTATTTTCAGGGCAAGTGCCAATGTCACAGCCAATACTTATTGGTGTGTCATTGATGTTTTCCGCGATCAAGCTCTGTTGAGTGACATCCGGGAAGAGGTTCGGAGTTCCAAGCTACGAGCCAAGGGCGAAGTACAATTAGATATCAACGTACTACTTCAACAACCTATCCTGCAAGCAGTGTTTGCGGAAAGCCTTAGGCTTCGATGTCACAATATGTTCATTCGCAAGACTACGCAACCCATCACGATTGTGGACTGGTCTATTCCAAAGGACCGCTTTGTCATTGCATGGTCTACTTCAGGTGAGCTGAACCCGAGATTGTACTCGCCAGGTGTTCTAATTATTCTTTTGTCTCACAGGTCATATGGATTCGAACATTTGGAGTGACTCCAACAACGTACATCCAGTGGACACTTTCTGGCCCGGTCGTTACCTGAAGTACACTAGCGATTCCGAGCTTCCTACTTTCTCTCTGGCTGGAACAGAAGGCTCTTGGCTTCCATTTGGAAGTGGCGCAAACCTCTGCCCAGGCAGACAATTCGCAAAAGTCCACTGTCTTGTCACTTTGGCTTTGATGGTAGATGAATTTGATTGCGATATCCTCGCCAGTCGTAAGGACCTCAAATTGAATCTCAGCAAGTTCGGAATGGGAGTGCTCGGACCCAGAGGCACAGTTTCAGCTAGACTCCGTAAAAGGGAGAACATGAACAATGCATAGGACATACCAACTGCCCCCGAACTTATGCATTTAATGGGGCCGTGTTTTGGGCGTTTGGCTATTAGTTCGAACTTCATTCGTTAAGATTGATCTGTACCGATATACAACCGTAAATGAGTCCATCTAACCTTGGTAGAGCTTCTGCCGGTTCGTCAGGAGTGGAGAAACATGCGAAACATATACTATCGACGGCTTCGTGAAAGCAGCGGTGCGCCAATGGATCCGAGAGCACGATGTGCTGGGATCCATCACTCTTATGGAACTCTATGTGAACGTCTTGTGCGTTTTGTTGCGCCAGTACGACGAAAAGCGCAAAGCACAAAATGCATCGAATGCCACCATGTAACGCTCATCGTTTTACATGAAGCTTGAGTACATGGCGCATTCTGATCGGTTTTTGGACTTTGCAAGGATCCAAATGCGCAATATTAGCGAGGTTGCCAATTTCGCATGCGAGGACTTGATGGTGTAGTCTATCATAAACTTCGCTCACGTTTACCTCGACGAGGGTCGCCACGATGACGCCGTGTAGGTACTTGACTCTGCCAAACGCTTTGACAAATGGCAGAACTTGCAACCAAATCTCAAGCGCATCTTGGTAAGAACTTACACGATCGCACCGTTGGCAGCTTTCTTCACCAAGGGCTGGGACGAAGCGGAGCAGATATTGATGGACGCAGTCGAGTAGAGCTGCGGAAACGACATCCTCCCGCCTGGGGCCAAATCGATCATTCGTTGTGCAGTCCAATCCAATACATAGTTCTTGGTCCAAAGTACGGTCGTGGGCCTTCGGTAAAAGAGATCATCTATCCCGCCTGCCAACACCTGCGTATAGCTATCTAGACATTCAAATTCTCAACACTCACTATGTTTGACACCGCTATGATGCAGGTTTACTTCATTCAAAGCTCTCCCACAATCTCAGACTACCCAGGACCGTTTCTATACACGATCATCATCAGCTGCATTGTTAATTGGGCTTTCATCACCTTCTACCATGATCCAGTCGTTGGTCCTCACGAGTTTGTAGAAGTACACAGTGAGTAGAATCTTCGAATCATTTGTCAATGCTCAGTTCTGATGTCACTTAGCAGGGCGTTCTTCTTAATGTAGATAGAACGACTATGGAAATTTCAAAAACCTCGAGCCATTGAACCCCCAGTCATAGCAAACAAATCAGATATCTACATCACTCTCCATCATACACTTTCACAAAGACTTTTTGCCCTCCTGAGACTGTAAGAGCGCGTGCACAGCCTTTTCAATGCCCTCATGTGTCGTCCATTGCGGTCGATATCCGAGTCGCGCCTTCGCTTTGCTGATATCGAACGTGTTGGTCATTGTGAAGAATCTGATCATCTTCCGGTTGATCTGTGATTCCTTATTGGCGAACGTGAATAGCCACACGCTCCACTCAGCAATGACCGCCAGAGCATAGTAAACCCACGTCGGCACGTCCCTCACGTCCTTCTTTTCAACTCCACACCCAGCCGCAGTCCCAACCGCTCTTACGAAATCCCAGAATTTCCATGGCTATCTCTCAGTCAGCACGCGCTCATTGACAGGCGACCGCTAGATTGGCATGTACGAATTCTTGCATACCTCGTCGTTTGTGATGATGAAGACTTCACCATCGATCCGCTCGTCTTCGGTAGGTGGCGGTTCCGTTACGTCCACATTGAGAAGCTTGTTTGCTGCCAAGCGATGGGCGTACGCAGCATTTCCAAGATACAAATAATCGAAAATGTTCTGACCGTCGCCAACTTGCATCTTCCCTCTGCCAGCCTGAGCATTGCTCACGATCTGCGGGATTGTAGTATTATCTCCCTCGCCATAAAGCGTAGGACACCGCAAGGCGCAGGTGAGAAGACCGTGCTTCCGGTTCGCTTCACGGAACATGACTTCGGCTTGTGCCTTCGTGCCTATACATCCGATCACTAAGCGAAGCCTCGAGGTGTCAGAAGGGCCTACTCACGAGCATAAAATTCGGGATGGTCCGGAAAGATGGGGACAGCCTCAGTAGCATTGATGATGTCGGTGTAACCGTTATGGATGATACCGGTACTAGATGTGTAGATCAACATCTTTACACCACCCTGCTCGTTGATACAGTCGAGTAGATTGCGTGTGCCGGAGACATTGACTTCCTCGAAGAGTTTGGGTGTAGCGCTCTGAAGCATCAGATGGGGCGAGGCGACATGGAAGATGACGCGCGGTTGGACATTTGCTAGGGCCGTGGAAACGTCTTCGTGGGAACTGACACTACCTTTCACGTAGCGCGCCCCCTCCACGCGATTACGTCCGACCTCAACATCGAGCACTGTGACGTCTGAAGCATCACCAGAGTGGAGCAGTTGAGTGACGATATGGAAACCAAGGCCTCCGCAGCCCCCAATAACCAGTGCCGGGTCAAGTGGCCCCATGATCGAAGTCGTGAGGTTGGAAGTGAAGTGGGTGTAGGCACAATCGTGTTTAGGTGGCAGGTACTGGGCTTGGGCTCAGTGTGTAGTCTTCTAATGGCCGCTGTGTGGGAGGGTCAATGTCAGTGTCAGTGTTTAGCAACGCTCTCGCACGAATACAACGCCCGCGCCGCAGGTGCACGCATGGTCCCTAAGAGATGCGACCCCTGCAGATGTGGACACACCAGACCATTGGCATTTCATTAATTCACGGCTCTACAGTTCATCTGGGGCGGACGTTGGGGCGCCGCGTCGCACACCACTGTTAATTCGCGCACAGTTACGCCACAAACGTACATATGGGTGGGCGGATGACTGATGGAACACGTTAGCGTGTCCCAAAGTGTGGCAGTGTGTCAGACGAGTTCAACCTACTATGGCCTCTACACTTAACATTTCTCCATCTACGAATCGCCACGACTATCCCAACGTCCTACTACCCAGTCATGATGCAGGCCCAACAGACGCATGAAGCGAAAGATGCGGCCTTCGAAGGAGGCCCCATTCAGAACTTGGGCAAGCCAATTACTCTGATAAGACAGAAAGCTTCCAAAAGGCTGTATACGATGAGGAGAATTAAACGAACGGAGCCTTTCGTTCTATCTCCTGCAGCGAAGGACATTCATCACCCGTTCATCACACATCTCGCATTCACAAACGAAGTCCCTAACAACCTGTACCTTGTCTCCCCTTTTGTCAGCGGCGGACACCTATTCACTCATCTGCAGCAACCTCGGCAATTTGACGTTGACACAAGCAGATTCTATGCGGCCGAAATCGTTTGCGCATTGGAGTACCTACATACTCAAGACATATTCTGTTGGGTCAAAGCTGAAAACGTTATGCTTGATTCATCAGGTCACATCACGCTATGTGGCTTTGGAATTTTCCGACAGCGCGATGGCACGCATCGAGACTGGAAAAAGCCAGAGTATCCCGCCCCAGAAGTGCTTACTAATGGCAAGTACAGCAAGGCCGCCGATTGGTGGACACTCGGCATATTCCTATACGAAATGCTCACGGGCTTGCCGCCGTTTTATAGCGATGTGGTCGAAGACATACGCGATAACATCATATCAAAATCGCTGCATCTGCCCGAGTCAGTGCCTCCACACGCAAAGGACATCTTGGTGGGTCTTCTTCATCGGGATCCTGAGCGACGATTAGGTGCCAGCGAGGTGTCTGAGGTCAAACAACACGCCTTTCTTAAGGATTTGGACTGGCAGGAGATAATTGAGCGTAGAACAAAGCCTCCATTTCAACCTGGATATTGCGCGGAATGTTTTGAGCCTTCTGGCGTCCATTATCTGTGTAATCACGAACGTGGGCAGTTTGAGGAACCTCCCACCGCTGAGACTTTCTTGGGTTTCGATACGCATAGTCTTTCTGGGCCCGGGAATAAGGCACAGGATGTAAATCCTGGAACTGCAGTGGCCGTGGAAGAGAATATCAACACGTCTGCAGTCACGAGTCCTGATATTGAGCTCGAAACACCCGAACAGATACGCGCAGCACTAGAGGTAGCGTTGAAGTCTGACCGGGAAGACATCGTCGGGCACCTCCTCGAATCGAACATAGACCTCAGTGCACCCGTCTTCAAACACCCGAGCGAGCGTACAACCGTGCTGGAATGGGCCGTTCGCCACGGAAGCCTCAACATGCTGGAACTAGTTCTCTCAAAAGCGGGCGTCAAGAGCAGAGATCGCGTAAGCGCAACACTAGCACTGGGGGTAGCTGCAAAATCGCGAAATCTTCCAGCTGCCAATAGCCTGCTCAGCCAAGGAACTCTTTGTGAATTTGAAGACGCAGACATTCCTGTCCCCGCTGACCTCGACGACCACGATGGTTACATATTCCCACATCCTTCCGACTCAGGGGAATTTACACCAGCGCTTGTAAGTGCTGTGTTGAACCGTGATATCGATCTTGCTCGGATGCTGCTCGCTCACGGAGCGAACCCAGATATTGGATACCATGGCGTTTTCTCCGGGTTGCGTGGCCCAATAAGTTTCTCCTGCGGAAGGGTTGTCCAATTGGCAATGGAGCTGCGACTGCTTGAAATGGCGCAGTTGTTGCTTAAGTATGGTGCAGATGAAGGGCTTGCGGCGCCGGTTGGGGAGATGCGAGGGCATGAATGTGGAGCTGTTACCAGACCGGTATATCAAAGGGTTACGGCGGCCTTGCGAGATATCGGAACGACTATTTCTAGGAAATTAATAAGTGGATGTGCCAGTGATGTACAGAGTACTGAATGTTTACGATCCGGCTAAGAGATACATATGTAAAGTATTACTATCATCAAAGACGAGCTAAGCTTAGTAAGGTATTGGCCACTCGTAATTAAGGTCCCTGGAATCGTTAGGAAATATTCCCTCGTCACAATACCCTTTGTCCCCATAAATAGGTCTTTGCGCTTTCATGAGCGCCCGCGGTTTGCTTCGTAAGACACACCTCTGTGACAAAACGTTCTCCTCACTAACAACACCATTGCACAGTCGCTAATACCTCACTTCCCTTGTGCCCGAGTACTGGCTTCTTCTTCAAAGTCTTGACGATATGGCACGCCGCTGGCAGCCCGAACTTCACCCCAGAGAATCGTACCCAACCAATCTCTTCCACTGCTTCGCGGAACGCCTAAGGTCCACACAGGCACAATGCGAGATTAATCCTACCTTAGGCATTGACCGGAAGGAGCCACTCCATATAAGCAAGCCTACCACAGAACGATCCTATCCTCGACACTGGATCCCGCCCAGTGAGCTAGCTGACTGGATGGAGCGCGCGGGCTCAGATTTAAACGTAGCAGAGACGACGCAGACGCCTGCGCTTGTAAAACATCCGCTACCGGGACCTGTTGGAAGTACCGAGAATCCGCAGATCCCAAACCCCGTCCAGCCTCGTATGCCCTGGGCTCAAGGAGCTTGGGACGAAACACTTCTTCCAGAGGACGACCTGATGGCCATCTCGGAAGCGCTCATGGGTCCGGATTTTACAGACTTCGACCGCGTCCTTAGCTTTGACGAGATGATATTGAGTGGCATGTCGGAAGCCCCGGCAGCTTGGGAGTTTGCGCAGTCCTGAAAATACCTAGAATCACGTTGAGATCTATCAAGCTACAGCTTTAATAATATGCGCCCAGATGCCATTCAGTAGACGTCTCTTTCGTAAACCTAGTCTCTAATATAATCCTCATGAATACGTTAACTTTCTTCTAGCGTAAGTTTAGATAAGTATAACTCTAACGGCAGTTCTCAAGGGGCATGACGAAGAGTGATCGGCTTCTATACACTACCAATCGCTTACTACATGAGCCTGGCGAACTATAGGGAGATATACGTACTTTAGTATTTAAGTAAGCTCATCGAACGCTAGCACGACACAGCACCCGAATGATGCGGCGGCCGTACTCCCAAGCCATCCCTCGTACCCTCTCCGCCGGAGGAGTCCCGTTCAAGCTTCGCCATCTTGGGATGAACCGTCTCTAGCCAGTCGTCAAACAGCGCATCGGCATTGCTCAGACTGTCTGTGCCGAGAAGCTCCTTGTTGTAGGCCATGTTGCACCACATATAGTCAGACGTCTCGTCGGTCCACGTGTGTCGCGCCAATTCTGCATCGCGGGCTTCTTGTTCTGGCCCGTCAGGCATGTGGTAGAAACTACGGTTGTTGATTGCGCCCTTCACGTTGGTCGTAGTCCGGCGCTTCTGCGACTTCTCATATAGCCCCAGCACGCTGCTGATGCTTTCGCGCTGTAGCGACGCCGGGATGACGCCCTGGCTGAGCTGGCGGTTGAGCTGTCCGAGCAGACGGCCGATGATGGCGCCGTCTTCTACGGCCATCGCTGCGCCCTGTGCTTGGTACGGTAGGGTGGGATGGCAAGCATCACCGAGGAGAGCAACGCAGCCCTTAACATGCGTCAATCTAAGGGCGTGTCATTGCCCAATTGTGAGACTCACTTTTGTCCACCGCTCCAGCTCATCGTGGTGCATAAGCTTCCATTTCAGCACACTCGGGATACAACTTATGATCTTGGTGAGCCTGCTCGGGTTAGTCCGACTCATCTCGGAGTTTACCTGGGCGACTTACACAGGATCCCACCCCTCAAAGGTCTGTCTCATCTCCCTGATATCGCCTTGCACGGACCGCGCTCCCGCAGGAAGGTTGTCCGGCCGTAGTAGCACCAAGTTGAATTGCGTGCTGTTACGAACGGGATAGAAGACGCAATGCTTCAATGGCCCGAACCAGATCGTCACGGCGGGATCCCGGCAAAGTTCCTCCACGCGCGGGTCATCGAGCCGCTTAAGTTGCTCGAGCGAGAACGTCCCGCGATACGCCAGGTCACCCGTCTCAAATGGTTCGGAGACTTTGCCCAGCATCTCTGTTCGCGTCGCCGACCACAGACCTAACAGGATCTCAGTCACGTTAGCCGTTTGAGCATCAGACGTGCCACGATCGTGGGAAAGGGAAGACATCGGGGGGCCGTAAGGAACGTACCGTCACCTCCAACCACAACATCAGCCGTCACCGTCCTGCCACTCTCAAGAGTCACCACGCCGGCATCGAGTTCGACCTTGATCACCTTAGCGTCGAGGACGATCTCCACGCCCAACCGCGTGGCTTCTTCCAGCAGCACCTTATGGTAATCGGCGCGGTGAATGACCCTTAGCGCAGATACTCAGCACTCATGTGCCCAGAGATTCAGTTGGAAGGACCAGCGTCATACTTACATCCACGGACTATCCCCCCAGACAGGTCGCTCGGCGAGTACTTCGCCGTCAGCATACCTCCGCGCCTTAAGCACCTGGACCTCGTTCGCCACTTCCTTGACGCCCTCCAGCAAGCCCAAGCCCATCAGCACGCGGCTGGCGTTGGGTGGAATCTGGATGCCTGCGCCAACCTGTTTAGCGCTCTGCGTCAGCCATGGTGAAGAGGTACAGGTGGTGTCGTATTCTGAAGCAGCGGGAGGGGCAAGGGCTTACCGGCTGGATCTCAGGGGCTTGCTCTAGGACCTGCACGCGGAAGCCTTCGCGGCGGCAGGCGATGGCGCATACCAGCCCGCCGATGCCAGCGCCAATGACGATCACGCTGAGCGGATGCAGGGTGTGGTTCTCAGCCATGACTGCTTTTGGGGGAAGGGCAGTGGGAAGAGTGGCCTGGAGTCGCTATCTTGGTATTGGTAAGAGGTCGAGGCAAGAGGAGGATATTAGTCCAGGCGATGGAGGAGGAGGAAGGGGGCGGGTGTTTCCAGGGACGTGGTGGATGTTTTTGGTAGGGATGGTACTGGCTCGGGTGGCCACGTGCTTTATCCTTGTGCACTCCCCTCCCCTAGGCTGCGTGGGAGGGATGAAGGTGGGCAATGGCGGCTAGGTATGGATCGGCGAAGGCACGCAACACGGCCTCCGCGGCTCCCCGGTGCCCGCGACTATCAGGGGACACAAGGCGAGGCAGCGCGGTGGACTTGGATGCTGGATTGACTCGTCCCCGCGGCGTGTAGACAGGGGATCAAGCCCAGTCAGTCACTTTTGGTGGGTCATGTAGTACTGTGACGATGAAACGCGGCTGAATGGTGATATTTTCGTGATAGGCTATCTAGATGATGAAGTACCTGGGGCTATTTGGTCACGTGCTCATGGCCCATCCCTTGGATCCTTGGAACCTCGGGAAACAGGTATTCAGAGGGGGCTTTGCGGGAAGTTGGTGTCTCAGGTGAGAACTTGGCTCTGTCTAGTATATTGCTTTTAGTTTGAAATGAAGATTGAGCGTTATTACTAGACTGGTATAAGTGTTCTGGCTCTGCATGATGACCACCCTGATAGCCCCGCAGCAGATTCACAGCAGCCATTTTGGGTTGAAATGAAGATTGAGTCTCATCGCTAGACTGCTATAAGTGATCTGGCTCTACATGATGACCACCCCGATAGCCCCCCCGTAGCGGATTCACAGCAGCCATCATCGCTGGAAGGCGGCCAGGTCCTCGATGGCCTCGTGGGTCTGATTGCCCACAGTGGCCGTGAAGGCGTTCCCGTTGGAGCCGTGGCGGACGTCGACACTGGCCGTGACGGCGGCGGTGGTGGTCTGCTTGCCGGCGGCTATGGCGAGCACGGCGTCTGCGTCTACAACGGCTGCGTCTGCGACGGCTGCGGGACCTCTCCACGCGACGTGGTCGTCGGGCCGCACCAGGACGGCGTCGCGCTCCCACACACGGCGCAGGTGCGGCTCGTCCGGCAGGTGCAGCGTTTTGAGCGGCAGCTTTGCCCGGGCCGCGGCGGCTGCAAATGACTGCGCGTACTCGCCCGCCGCGCTCATGTCGACCAGCGTGTACTCGGCGCCCGTGCCGAATCGATCGAAGATGCTGTGCTTGCCGCTGGCCAGGAACACATGAGGAGCGCGCGCGCCCGGCCAAGTCGACGGCACGTATCTCCTCGGCTCCCACGCCGGCTCCTCGACGCTGCTGTCGCCGACGACGACTGGCGAGCCCTTGTAGCGGTAGCCCAGCTCGATGCCGTGGTCGGTGTTCTCGCCGTCGTGGTGGCGCACGTGCTCGGCAATCTTGTGGCGCAGCGCCTGGCCCTGACTGGTCGCCGCCGTGGCCAGCTGTGGCGCCTCCATACACCACGCCACGTACGCCGCGTGCACCGAGAAATGCACCCCCGAGCGCTCTATGTTGTCCGCCCCTACCGGCCGCCGCTCCGTCTCGTAGGACGCCAGAAGACGGGACCCTCCGTGCCCGGCCAGCACCGCCGCCACCTTCCACCCAATGTCGAAGCTATCCCCAACCGCCGTGTTCATCCCGTAGCCGCCCGTCGGGATGTTCTGGTGCGCCGCATCGCCCGAGATGAACACCCGCTGGCCCGCCGATGCGTACTTGTCGGCCAGATAGATGTTGGGGCGCCACACGCTCGTCACGAGGATCTCGTCGATTTCGATCTCATGCGGCGCGCATTCGCCCCCGAGCGCCTTGTAGACGACCTCCCTTGCATCTATGCCCGACACGTCGGTGCCCACCGGGATAGGATTGTGCACCGTCCACGTGTCCACCTCGTCTTGCGAGATGATGACAGACCCGCTTGTGAAGAAGATGTGCCAGAACTGGCCCTGCTTGTGCAGCCGGCTGAGGTCTCTGGACTTGAAGTGGATGAGATGCATCGCCCCTGGTCTGATGGCCACGGCCATGTCAGTGTCCGGCCGTCTCCATGTAGGTGTAGGTGTAGGTGTTTAGGGGATCTCTTACACCGGCCCTCCTTTCAACTTGCTCCCAATAGCCGCTCTGACCTTGCTTCCCGCCCCATCGCAGCCGATCACGTACTGCGAGCGGACCACATGCTGCTGGCCCGTCTGGTCCACCATTTTACACTCCACGTGTGTGTCTGACTCGACCAGAGACTCGAATTTCCAGCCAAAGTGGGTTTCGACTAGGTCATCTGCTTCGAGTTTGGGCTTGAGCCATGCTTCGAAGATAGCCTGAGAGCAGCGCTGATACGGCTCTCGAGGCATTGAGCCATCGTTCTGGGTTCGGATGCGAGCTCGCCATTCGTTGGGAGATGGGAGGTGCTTTGCTTCAGGTCAGACCATTGGTGCCTGAGGGAGGAGGAAGGGGGACGGGCGTCACCACGAACCCATTTCTCGATCGACTGCCCCTTCTCCGAAAGCCCGGTGCTGAAGTTGACGTCGAATGAGTAGTTCTGCGGGACACCTGTTGTTGACGCGTGCTTAGCCTCCATCTTTCTCTCTCTTCATCTCTCCACTAACCACCTTCCTTGCACGGTCGCAGAGGGACTTACCGACTTCACGTAAGCCAGTGTCGACGCCCAGACGCTTGAGCAACTCCATGCTGCGGCAATTCGTGATATCCATTTTGGGCCATTTCGTCGTGCTGAGGTTCCGCTCGACCAGCATGCACCGCGTCCCATTCCTGGATAGCTGCAAAGCAGCAATAAGCCCCGCGGGTCCGGCGCCAACGACCAGCACGGGAGTCTCATGCTCCGTGGTTGCCTTTCAACGTTAGACCTGTGCACCTTCTTAGGGGGGAACCGCGACAAACCATGATCACGCTCTCGGACCTTGAAGTCTCTATGTATCGAAATCTTTTGTGGGCTTGGCTGTACCTGAGGGAGCGTATGTGGCTGTATGGTGTTCTTGGGTACGACTAAGCTCCCGCGTCTGCAACCATGTATATCGCACAGGAAACCGCGCTGCACCGTGGGACCCACTTTTGACATGCTCTCTGGCGGACCTTGTGCACACCATTGGTGATTCTTGGACCGCTGCTCTTGATCGGGGATTCTAGGGCCTCGCTGGGTGCCGTTGATGGATTGGGGTGGTCAGTCGTCATCGGTCATTAACCATTACTCGGTGACCAGGTTCGGCAGTTCCGCACCGCATACACGTCCAAATGGGTTCTTTGCGGTCGCTGGAAACGGAGTCGAAAGGCCAACCATCTCCGTGGGCTCGGTGGGCGGCGCAAAACAATCTCATGACTAGATTTGATGCCGTGGAGGTGGGGACGGCGGTCGCGGTGTACCGCCGAGGCCGAGGCCGCGCCGCGCCGTTCCCCCGCACTGTACTGGTACCCCAGGAAACCTCGCCGTCTTTCTTGGCGTCTAGTGGGACCCCTGTCTGTGTAAAGAGAAAGACACGCGGCTGGGGGTAATGCCCCTCTCGTACAGCACATGCTAGGCGAGCCGAAGCAAAATGGGTAATATCTATATGACGGACAACGATTGATTTATACATATGATGGAGGCGCTAATTTCGTGAGAGTCCCTACAGGGCGAGTTCATCATGCACCGCCAGCTGAGATATTGGCGGGCACCGCAGCGACAACGTCAGGAGGCATGGGAACTGGCTTCCCAGCGTCCTCGACTCTTCCTGTGACAAAACCCAAGGGGATGTTGGGGCCCCATATGTAGAGCGTCTTGGGAGCAGCAGCCTCCCGGCCAACGGGTGTGTCCCCATTCACGAGGTCTCCATCCGAGTAGTGCTCAACTACATTTCCGGAGCCGTCGAACCTGGAGCCAGACCTGTTAGCTCGCCCTCGTTCGAGATGTGGATCGCTTTAGAG